CTGGCTTGCACACTTCACCCAGCAAGACAAAACTCTGCTCCCCAAACTGCTCTCCTTAGAAGGCAGTTTGTAGAATATCTGTGGTGCCCAAGCGTGTCCCATGGCATCTCACCGAAATCCCAGTCAGATTGTCAAAGGAGTCCTTCAGGTCTTCCAGTGTGTCCCTTGAGTGCTGTCCGAGTCTACTTCCCTGGACTTTTCAGTGGCTCTTGTGACCTGCTCCCTTGCCATCTGACTGCTATGACAGGTTCTAGTCCTGACCTGGGACAGTCTCCTTCATCTCTGCTTCTCCTTCCTAAGTCAGCACCAAAATTTCTCTTCCTGGAAATCGCCATTTCTGAACCTGCTGGACCCTTTCTGTTCCCAGAGCAGTCTGGCTGCACTTGCCGTCCTGGGATCTGTCTGTCAAGTGCTGGCTGGGGACTCTGCTCCTCTGTTAACCTGGGACCTCTGGGCAGGTACTTCTGTGTACGCAGGAAGGGCATCTCAGCCCAGCCTGTGCCTGGGAGCTGGAATTGTCCTCCTACCCCCTTCTCCCTTGGCTTCCATCCCATCCCCAGGCCTGTCTGTACACGAGGCTGAAAACTTCCCCTCCTTTCCTCACTTATCAGGAAGCATTGCAGGAATCTAGGCACGTAGGAGTCAGGGTCAGTGTTGGGAGGGGCCGGCAGAATGGTCCTTCTCCACCCACCCAGACTACAGTGTGGGCTTCTGCCTTTCTCTCCCCCATTTCCACATCCAGGTGGGGACCTGGCACAGCCCCAGCTCTGTAGCCTGGGCTGTGGGAGGTCAGGCCATTCCTCTCCTGCTTTAGGGATCAGGCAGCCCTTTTCTCAGATCCATAGGTTTCTGCATCAGTGGTCGAAGGAGAGGACTTTCAGCCTGGTGGGAAGGAGATGAGAATGGGAGCCTGAGGCTGGAACCCTTGGGCTTGAATCCCAGCCTTGCTACTTCCCAGTGGTATGTCTTCAATCAAGTGATTTAACCTCCCCATGCTCAGGGTCCTTCTCTGTAGCAGACATTTATAGCACAGGGCCTCACAGGGCCTCACAGGGCTGGGTGGGACCTTGCCAGTCAGCGTTCCTGGAGGAAATAAATTCACCCCTCATAGCTCAATTAAATTGATTTTTTAAAAAAATACAAGATATGTTCTGTCTTCTTTTTTCCCCAAAAAGCACTGATGGTCTTTCTTCAGTGTTGAAAGACGTGGCGCCTTACACGGGCTTTGGTGGGGGCTGATGGTGGCACCTTTGGGTCTGAATTTGGGTGGGATTACTTGGTTCTTAAGGGCTTTACTGGATCCATTCCTGAGAACTGTGCTGTGAATGGACAACTTGGGCAGCACACAGCTGCACCCATGGCTCAGGAAGCACACAGACATCATGGACACTTGCTTGAAGGATGTCCCTGATGGTGGTGGTGTCTGCCATATTTAAAATGATGAACTTCTTAATGGCCTTGTCTTGGGGCATGCACTGATTTATGCAGTGAATTGTGTGTGGTCCTGGATCTTTTGGGCATGGTCATTATTCCTTCCTTTCCTTGTCATCCTGGAAGTGAGGGCCCAAGACAGCTAAACTGACTTTAATGAAAGGGTTACTGTAAGTGTGTGTGGGGTTGATAAAGGACCTGGAGCCCAGAGACCAATAACAGAGGACTAGCCCTAGAGTGGTCAGCCTATCCAGTATGTTGAAGGCCCAGAGGACTTTCAGTGCTAAAACAGGGACAGCCCTGGGACTATCAGGACAAATGGGTCACACTACGTGGAGCTGAAGAGACAAGAGAAGTGAACCGAATGGATAACGGAGCTGCTGGAGCTGTGGAGGAGGGAGCCTCTGCAAGAGCTGTAATTGTGTTAGCGGAGAAGCAGGGAAGAAGCCCTAACATCGCTCCTGCTCTGATCTCGCTCCCAGCCTGTGTCTCTCTGTGGTCAACCCAATTGGAAGCAGAGGACAAGGAGGCAGCCCATAAGACAAGAGAAGAAATATAGCTCTGGGGTGCGAAGGGGGCTGGTGGAGCACAGCCAGTGTGGAGAAGAAACATGTTATTGCATGACAAGTGCTTAGGCTACTCTGGGCCAACAAATGCTATTAACAATAAGGCTTCTTAGATTAGAAAGTGCTACTTCTCTCTGGGGGGCCTTACCCACCCACGTCTTCCCCATTGTTCAGTACCCAGGCTGGCCAGGAGAGGGGCTCAGTTGCTGTTTTAGCTGTTTTGCTCCATTCTTTGGGCTGTGGTGGAGACAGCGTTCAACCCTCTCCGCTCTTGTGTCCTGCTGGCTGCAAGGAACTCTGGGCAAGTGACAGTCTCCAGACCTGGGCCCCTCGGTGGGAAGCAGCAGCATGTGGCAGCTCTCCCTCACCATGGAAGCCTGGAGGGGAGGAAAACACTCTTCCTTGGGCTTGTTAAACAGTATTTGCGGGTGGCCATGTATCTGAATGACACTTGTGCACTTAGTAGAGACTGAACTAACTCTTTGTGACTACAGTTAGCTGAGCGCTGGGTAATTGCAGGAGGCTCTGTATCCAGTTAACTGGTGAAGGTGTCTCTACAGTGTACTTCCATTTCTCATAAATGCTGTCAGATTGTGTGATGGATTGAAGTCCTCTAAACCTGCTTTGTTCTGAGGGCTGTCTGAATCACAAAATCATTTAATGTCTTATTTTGTTCTGTTTACAATTGCTTAAATAAATTCTAATCATAAAAGTCTGAGTGTTCTTCCTTTTTTTGGTGCTGGAGATCAAACCCAGGGGTGCTTTACCAACGAGCTACATCCCATCCCCTTTTATCTTCGTTTTGAGGCAGAGTCTTGCTAAGTTGCTCAGGGTGGGAGCCCTTGAACCTGTGATCCTTCTGCCCCAGCCTGTCAAAGTTCTGCATTTATGAATATTTCCCATTAAGAGGCTGCAGAAAGAAGGGCTGAGCTCAGGTGTTTGAGAACAGACTGGAGAGAAAGGGCTGGAGGAGGCCGAGGGGTCATAGGGGCCCCGTCAGGGCTGAGGTGGGGAATGTCTACCTGGGATTGTGTTTCCAAGCAGCGCTGTGCTCCCGAGAGTGACCCTGAGCTGCTGCACATCTGTCACCAGCTCCCAGCGCAAAGCCTGCCAAAGTGCTTGGTGAATATGTGAATGAGTTGTGTGCGTGGATGTGTGCGTGTGTCTCTGGGGTGGGGTGTATTTGTGTTTACAGCACAACTCCCACTCCCACCACCCCAGCTGCCTGGTGACTCAGAGGCCTGACATCACTCTCGCCCAGGGGCCCACAGCACATCTTGGAGGCTAAGGCCCCACTCAGGTGTCTCTCCTCCCACACTGCCCCGGAAGAGATAAGGGAGGGTGAGTCTTCTAGCTTGGGGAGAGGAGATAAAGGTTGGTGGGAAGTGATGGCTTAGTCCAGGATCTCTATCGCTTTTTTCCCAAAGGACTTTTATGGAGCACTGTTCCTAGAGGAAGGAGAGCTGAGACCCAGTGAGGTTGAGAGTTGCCTGAGGACACACTGCTTGGTGGGGATTCATCTCTCAGCCCATCTCCCCCAAATGCCTGGTATCTTAACTCCAAACAGGGAGGATAACCTGTTGTGCACTGAGGGCCGAATTCTGTGAGTGTACATCAACCCGTCCCTTGGGAGAGTCCGTTTCGACTTCTTCAAGCAATGGGAATGCACTTATAGCCTCCCACTGGGCTTAGTAAAAGATCCCAGAGCCTCTCAGGGATGGGAGGGGGTTCCCTGTCTGCCTTCCCTGGGCTGATGGAGGGTGCCTCCTTTGTCACAATCCCATGCCTCTGTACTGGGGTCTGGGGGCAACAAACTGGCCGAACATCCCTGCTCCTTCCCTGAGGCCAGTCTGTCCTCTCTGGGGCCATTCTCCTGCTGAAAGCTGAAGCAGGCAAGGAGGACCAGTCTGTCGGTCATCTTCCAGTCATCTGCAGTCCTACATTTGTAGTCTGCTTTTGCCATTGCTGTGTTTAGTTCCAGCCATCTGAGGTGGGCAGGGTGCAGAAGGCCAGTAACATAAGAGCCTCTGGCTCCTCTGAATCAAGCATTTGGGCTCCTGGTGGGCAGGGGAAGAGGGGAATGATGGGACACATTATGGGATTCTTGGGGCTTTTGTTGATGATGTACCCAAGGGATTTATACATCTTTTCCAGGATAGCCGTATTCTCTGCCCACCCTATCTCTCTCCAAAGTGGCGATCCCTTTTGGGAGGACTCCACTACAGGGCATAGGGCTGGGGTCTCAGCTGAAGACTGAAGATCCCTGCCTTGCTTCAGCCCCCAGAAGAAAGTGGGCTGTGGTCCCAGTTCCCGGGCCCTGTCTGAGGACCCCGGGCCTTCCTAACCCCTTATCATGTGCCCAGGCCCCATACTTGGACAAGGGCTCTTTCTCCGTCCTTGAACCCATTTTTGTTCTGCAGGATCTTCGTCCAGGGTATGATGAAAGAACAGACCGTCTCTATGCCCATCCTCTCACCTGTGCTCCAGCCCTGACCCTGCCGGGAGGCAGCAGGCTGTGGGCTGGGAGGCTGGAACTACGGCAGGCCTGGGCTGTCTCTCCAGCAGCCCATTGCCCAACGCTCCCTCCCTTACCACTTGCATAGCCCTGAGCCCCGAGGCTTTGGCTGACAACAGGGCCCTGGGACAAACCCCACAGAACAGAGCCCCATTGATGGCGGCCATCAGGGCTGGGTGGGAGGAGACCAAGCCAGCCACTGGGTGGTGGAGGTGGCCGTGGGAGCCCGTGTCATCCTGTTCCAAGCGAGGAGAGCCTGAGGGGGGAGACGGTGGCATCCTGCCCCAAACAGTCTGGGCTCAAGCCCAGCTCCAGAGCACAGGTGATGGCGGGGAGGGGCCATCCCTCCTCCCTGGGGTGATGGGGCAGGGGTGTGTATTTCAGAGCCCAGGGGCCAGCCCAGCTAGGAAGAGATAAAAAGGCCATTAGTGGCTCAGCAGCTCACTACACTCCCTCCTACTCTCATCTGCTCTGGTGCTCCAACAGCCATGAGGTCCTCTGTGTCTCGGCAGACCTATGCTACCAAAGGAGGCTTTAGCTCCAACTCCGCCAGTGGAGGGGCCGGCTCTCGGACCCACACCAGCTTCAGCTCAGTGACTATGTCCCGGAGCGGTGGCAGTGGTGGTGGGGTCCACTACGGCCCCCGCATAGGTGGCTTTGGTAGCCGGAGCCTCTATAATTTGGGGGGCAGCAAGAGCATCTCAGTCAGTGTGGCCTCCTCGGGCCGGGGTCTGGGAGGCTTTGGCCACAGCAGTGGGGCCTATGGAGGCCTGGGTGCTGGCAGGCAGACATTTGGGCCTGTCTGTCCTCCTGGTGGGATCCAGGAAGTCACCATCAACCAGAGCCTGCTGACCCCTCTCAATGTGGAGATAGACCCAGAGATCCAGCGTGTGCGCACCCAGGAGCGTGAGCAGATAAAGACCCTCAACAACAAGTTCGCCTCCTTCATCGACAAGGTGGGCTGGGTTAGGAGTGGTGGCGTGCAATGGAAGCCGGGTCTCTGGGCCAGGTGGGCCAGGCAGAGGATGTTCTACTCACATGGACAGGTTGGGGCTGGGGGATGACTTTGATCTCTGTCAGCCTGAGCCTGGAGCCTGAGATGTGGATGACCTGGACCATCTTCTGGGTCTTTGCTGTGAATGCAGGTGAATCTCCATCTACTTATGAGGCCTGCTGGTCAAGCCCACCTTGACGGTGTGGGAATCTTTCCTATGGTCATAATTAACATGGTTACATGGTAGCTTTATCTTACAATTAAAATTGAATTGTTCCCATTACTCCTCTGAGCATGGTGGCCTTTACCACTTTTTATCATTTTATAACTGGAGGAATTATGGTTCAGGAGTTGTGCTTCCAAGACTGCAGGTTGTGCTCTGTCAGATCCTGTCCTTCAAGGGCTGATGTGATCAGAATACAACTGGGTTGGGGGCCCCAGGGAAGTTCCCACTGTTTCTCCTTCTCCCTCCATGTTCGAGCTAAGAAGCTCAGTTTGTGATGGACAATGAGGAAGTTGATCACCATTCACCATAGCATTTGACCTGTTGCAGTCTGGGAGTATCCTGACTCTTTTATTTGGTCCCAGGCTAACTGGGATGATTCTTATACTGTTCTCTGGCATTTCTTGGTCCTTCTGGCATAATCTACCTTGCTCCTGAGCCAAGGCAGTGGAGTCATGATGGGGATGACCTGATGGACAATCATACCTTGGTTCTGTGATTTGTGCTTTTACAAAGCACGTTCATATCCCTTGCTCATGTGATCCCACTGGGGTTCCATGAGGAGTCAGGATATATGATATTGTGCTCATTTTTATGAGGAGAAAACTGAGCTTGAGAGAGGCCAAGTGATTTGGCCAGGATCATAGCGATCCCAGAAAGCAGAGGTAGAACTGGGAGCTCAGGTTCTGGATGCCATGATTCTTTGCACTGAGAGACGCACTTGCCCTGGGAGCTTCAGGCAACATGGCTGTGGGCTAGGGTGCTGCGGGGGTGGGACTGGGGAGAATGGATGGCAGAGGGTGAACAAAGCTGCCCCGCCCACATCTTACCTTCTCCCCTAGTGACTTTTGGTTCTTTTGTGGGACTATCTCAGAGGTCAAAGCAGCAAAATCTTTTCTCAGGCTTACAGAATCACAGCCTGAGATCTGGGGGTGTGAGAGCTCGGTGTCTGGTGTTTCAAAACGCTGGTTGGGCAGAGAAATCGTGTGTATGTGTGTGTGTGTGTGTGTGTGTGTGTGTCCTTCTGAGTCTATAGAGGCAGAATGTGGGCAAAGGTTATTCAAACAAATTTTTAGTGTCAAAAAAATGTGGAATTTAAAGTTGCAAGAATTATACAAGGTAGTCTTGTATATTCTTTCAGATTCAGCATTTTGCCACATTTTTTCTTTGTCTTTCTCTCTTTATGTACCCTCAGTTTTAGCAGTTGATTTTGATGCAGAGTCAGGGTTCAGAAACTCTGACTAGTCCAGTTTACCCAGCACAAGTGAGAAAGGGAGACCCAGAGAGAAACGATTCGACCAAGATCACAAGACCCACCAAGCTGGGCTCTTATGTATTTTGTCTTTAGAGTTCTTTTTGTCAGAAGGGACTGTCACTGCAATGGAGACTGCTTCCTAATGTGCAGATGGTGCTGCAGTTCCAGTCAAATTGGCATGGGGTGGTGGGCCTCACCTTGGCCCCTCCTATGGCCAAGAATGACACCTGCCAGCTGGCCCTTCTTTCTCTGGCTCAGGTGCGCTTCCTGGAGCAGCAGAACCAGGTGCTGGAGACCAAGTGGGCGTTGCTGCAGGAGCAGGGACAGAACACGGGGGTCACCAAGAACAACCTGGAGCCTATCTTTGAGGCCTTCTTGAGCAACCTGCGGAGGGTCTTGGACAGCAAGCTGGGCGAGCGGGGGAGGCTGGACACGGAGCTGAGAAATGTGCAAGATGGCCTTGAGGACTTCAAGAACAAGTGAGGAGAGATGCCCCATTCCCAGGGTCCCTCTGGTGCTCAGGTTGAGGGCCCACTGCTGCCTGGAGAACTGGCACATTGTGTATTGTTATTTGAAATTAGGTCTTTTATTTTTTTAATAAGGCAGGGAGAATAGAATACTAAATCCCCATGTTCTCACATCCACTTGAATAATTATTGACTCAGCCTGTCTAGTTCCATCTCGCACCCTCCTTCCTTACTGTTGTTGTGAAGCAAATCCCAGCCATCACATCATTTAATTCACAAATATTTTTCTTGTTATAGTCATGGAGTAATCCGTCTCAATAAGACATAAACACAAAGCTATAGTCGTACCTAAAGCTTTTAACACAGTAAATCTTTAATATCATCAAATATCCAGCTGATTTGAAATCTTCAATTATTCATAAATGTCATAAATGTAGACAATACAGTTTGAGTCAAGTGTCCAAGTAAGGTTTATATATTGTGCTTAGTGGATATATGTGTATGCATATTTACAAATTTAAGGTCTACTTTTTATAGCTTTTCCCATAACACCACACTAGTGATTTCTACACCTTGAAGTCTTAGTAGCAGCGGTTGGGCGGGTGTGGTCATTTTCAGGAACATCTTGTTGTTGTAAGTGAGTGCAAAGGTTAACCATTGTTGGCACATCTTCCCTTTCTCCTGCAGAGATTCCTAAGGGCTCTGATCCAAAGACATAGCAGCTCTTGATTGCTGTTCTGTAATTTACTTGTTGCATAAATTCTATGCCTCTTTCCTCAAATGGGGGTGGGAAGAGAGAATATTTAAGTAAAGGCAATGCCTCATTTTTTTTTTTTATTGGTTGGCCGCATTGAAGAACCATTTCCCAAAGGTGTCCTTGGGGGATGGGGTTTCCATCTGAGCGTCTTTAAAGCTGAGTGGGCCCAGTGTCTAAGAGGCAGAAAGGGACTGAGCCTAGCCTGAGCCTGCTCTGTGTACCAGGTATGAGGATGAAATCAACAAGCGCACTGCTCTGGAGAATGAGTTCGTGGTGCTCAAGAAGGTGAGCAGGATGCTGGGGACTGGGAAAGGTGGCCCTTTGGCTAGAGGGTGCTGGGCTGGCTGGGAAAGAGGTGAGACCTTGGAGGGCTGAGAATCTGCCTCTCTCCCTTCTCTCCAGGATGTTGATGCTGCATACATGACCAAAATGGATCTGCAGGGTAGAGTGGATTCCTTGTTGCAGGAGATTGACTTCCTGCAGTGCCTCTATGAAATGGTGAGATGGAGAGTGGATGGGGTAATTTGCATACATTTGCATACAGCACTGAGGGTTCTCCATGGGAGTCTGACCTTGGTTCATCAGTGCAACTTAACTGGTAAAGGATGAGAACTTGACATTTTTAATTAGTGCTTCTTTCCATGTATTAAATGCTCTTGATGGGCCAAGCATGGGGTCATGCTTCTATAATTCCTTCAGCAATTCCACAGTGTAGGTACTATTATGGTCTCCACTTTATAATCAAGGGCATTGGGGTTCCGAGTAACCTACTCATGGTCACAGAGCTAGTAAGAGGCGACATCAGAATTGAAATTCTGCTCTTGAACTCCAGAGCTGGGCTCTAGTCACTCTTCTCTCCTCCTGCCCCTTTTGTAATGGAGGAGAGAACAGAGCAGCAGATGCAGAGAGGAGGGATGGGATTCCAGGATGGAGCAAGAGGTTGAGGGTGGTGGTGGGTAGAGGAGAGAATCCAGGAGGAATCTCAGGAGACAAGGGGCCTTGGAGACTAAGGTGAGAGGGTTGAAGTTCACATGAACTGATTGGAGAATCAGTGGTCCTAGTGTTAGGAAGGACCTCAAGGCTCAAGTTTACACTCCCAGGGCATGAACTCTTGCTATGACGTCTCTTACAGGTGGGCATGTAGACTGTACTGTAATACTTCTCATGGCAGTAAACTCACTGCCTTTGAGGGAAGTCTTTTGTTTTTTCTGCGACAGGGTTTCTCTATGTAGTCCAGGCTGGCCTTGAACTTGCAATCTTCTTGCTTCAGCATTCCAAGTAGCTGGGATTACAGCTGTGTATCACTGTGCCTAGTCTGACCTATGTGTGTCTTTTTTTTTTTTTTTTTGGAGACAGGGTTTCACTGTGCAGTTCAGGCTGGCCTTGAACTCACTTTGTAGCCCAGGTTGGTCTCTAACTTGTAGCCATCCTCCTGCCTCAGTCTCCCTAGTGCTGGGGATACAGGTGTGTGCCACCGTGTCCAGCATGACATATGTGTTTCATATGACAGCCTTTTAGAGGGCAGAGTGATTAAGGAACAAAAACACATACTTGTGAGGAAGTTCAGGAAACAGGGATCCTAGGAAGTTTTTAGAAAACAGAGGAGCAGGGAGAGACAACAGACATCTATCTGTGTAGCCTCATGTGGCACTAGTTTACGTATTAGCTTTAGAAACATCTCCATCTCATCACATGAACTCCTTAGTTAACTCCTGGAGTTTTTCACATAAGTGGTTACAAGGGAGGCATGCATCCACTCTCCTCCAGCTTCCTTTACTTGGGTAGTTGAGATTTGGAAACAGAATGCAAGAATTAACCATTCTGGCCGGGTGTGGTGGTACATGCCTATAATCCCAGCGAGGACTGCCACAAGTTTGAGGCTAGTCTGGCCTACATAGTGAGTTCAAGGCCAGCCTGAACTACATAGTGAGACCCTGTGTCAGAGATAGAGAGAGAGAATCATTCCCTTCCTTTCCTGTGAAATGGTATTTTGTGGTTTCACCATATCATTTTAAGACACATAAGCATATTATTATTATTATTATTAAAGGCAGGATCTTGCTAAGTTGCCCAGGTTGGCCTCAAACTTGAGATCTTTCTGCCCCAGCCTCCTGAGTGGCTGAGATTACAGATGTGTACCACCGCACTGGGCTCACATGGCACTTTGGAATTTGATTCTCCTGTCCTGTGGATTAGGGACGCCCTGCTTTGGGTTATCTGTAGACATGATGAACTTTCTGTTTAGTTCTTCAATAATGCTTCAGTGGAAATTATTGACACATATATGTTATTTTTTGTTTGTTTGTGTTTTTTTTTGGAACATGGAATTGAACTCAGGACCTTGCGCTTGCCAGGCAGGCGCTTATGCCACTGAGCTATATACCCAGCCCTGACACATATGTTGAATTGACCAAGCTCGAGAACAGAGTCCTAGAGGTCTTCTGTGGTGAATTTCCACTGGGCTATCATTCTATTAATCAATAATGTGTAAGGTGCCTCAGCTATTCTAAAATTCACTTAACCAAACCATCACCTGTAACACATTTTCCTGTCTTATGTAGAGAATACTGAGAAAGGCTTGGTCTCACTTATGTAGGCTGGCCTTGACCTCACAGTGGTGATCCTCCTGCCTCGGGCTCCTGAGTGCTAGGATTACAGGCATGTGCCACCATGCCTGGCCCTTAGGAAACTCTTGATGGCTTCATACACGCTCAAATATTTTGTGATGCCTTACAGAAGTTTGTAGGCATCCACCTTAATTTGGAAAATCCTAAATCTCTGTCTTTGAAAATCAGGACACTTGCTGTGTAAGATCGCTAAAACCACTCCTCCTTTTCCTGTCTCATGAGGATCACTGAGTGTCCATCTCCTTGAGCTTCCCCAGTGGCCGCCTAGGATCTGTTTCCCTGGGCTGGGCCACTGAGATCCCAACCAGATCAAGGCCTCTCATACCCTCCATGTCTGTTGTGGGTTTTCACTTCCTCAACCATATTTTCTGCCCTTTCCAGATTGGTGACTGTTCTCCATGATGGAAGTGAAGCAAATGAAAGAAGCAGTTGAGCTGTTGGGTTTTCCTGGTCTTCAGCAGCGATCAGCTCAATGGCACTTGCCTTATTTGTCTTTCCTTGAGCCTCTTTGTATCGACCTGAGCATTCCCTTGCTCCTCCCTGGCTGAACTGCCCTCCGCTAACTCGCTCCTTACTCTGCATGGCTGGAGCTCCCTGGGAAGGACTTGAGGGCACTCTACAGAAGTTTCAGGAGGAGGGGCTGGGGATTTAGCTCAGCGGTACAGCGCCTGCCTGGCAACCGCAAGGTCGTGAGTTTGATTCCCGGTACCAAAAAAAAAAAAAAAAAAAAAAAGAAGTTTCAGGAGGCCTCCCAGTTTCTTCTATGCTGAGATGATTGATGGTTCATGGGTTAGGGCTTTCTTGTCCTCTCTTAGGTTCTGTTCTCTCTTCCTTTTTCTGGGTGTTTCGACATTGCTAAGACACATGGCGGTCCACCCAGCATTCCTTTCCTTTTCTACGCCTTGTTCATTTGATAAGCATCTGCTGAGTACCTTCCACATGGCCACCAAGACAGAGTCTCTGCCCTTGGGACCAAGCTATCAAGTGATGGGACTGTGTTGGGGACAGCCACAAGGTACTGAGGCACACAGAGGAGGCTGTGGCTGGTCATTCTTGGGATGACTGTGGGAGTTTTTAGAGGAGATGATATTTGAGTTGGATCTTAAGGAAAGTCTGGACTTCCAAAGAAGGAACAGGAAGGGCCTATCATCCAGGGACCTGCCTGTGCAGGTCACAGATGGCAAAGAACACAGGTGGTTGGCAGGCTGGGCACCGAGTGTGGGAAGAATCGGTGGAGAACTGGAAAGGGAAGACACCTTAGTGTCTGTTAACTGTCTAGCCCAGTGCCTGAACCACACAGCGAATACTCAGCGAGTGAAGACGGTTGTTATCCTCTCTCTTTCAAGCATAATACCCTGGGCTGCCACATGAGGAACACTGGAGATGGGGCCAGAACGCAGAAGGCATTGACTTTCAGAGGGAAGACGGCCCCTGAGGGAGCCGCAGAGGAAGACTTAGTCAGTGGGTGATTGATCAGGCTGGCACGCAGGGCAGTTTGGTGGTGGCCTAGCAGGGATCACAGGAGACATAAGGGCAGAACCCATGGACAGCCAGTGTAGTTATGTCCCAGGGGCCAGTGCATGAGTTTTCAGCTCCCTCCTGCCTTCTCTGCTGTCATAGCACCTTGCCTCCTTCTCTTAAACATCCTGGGCTGATTTTCCTCAGGTGTGCCCTCCAGCTTGCATGTAAAAACAATGGCCCTAGGAACTCAGGAAAGGCCCAAGACTATCACACACCTGGAGTGATCCCACGAAAACACTTGGCTTTGTCCTGCAACTGGCTGGCTCCAGTCTGGACCCCACCTTATGTCGGGTGCTCGGGGATGTGTCACTTCTCTTCTATGCCTCTCTCCTCACTTGCCAGTTGCTGCTTGTGGGGAAGACTGGCTCAGCATCACATGCCCGTGGTCAGGACCGCTGTGCACTGTGGGTACAGGTAGCTAGCTGGTTGGTGCTCGCTGCCCCCACACCCCCAAGGTGATCTACAGGCCAGCTGTGGGCCTGATGCCTCACCACGATCTGAGAATTAAAAGGGCCATAAATGTGTTCAGTGCCAGGCGCCAGCACAGGGCAGGAAGCACATGTTCCCTTCCTCTGTGATCTCTCAGAGGCCCGCAGATCCCCAGAACCAAGCGAGGTCTGTGGAGATGGAACCTCTTCCTAGGTTGTGGCTTCCTTCTAAGGTGGAGCCTGACAAGCGGAGTGGCTCTTCTGATGCCCTTCTGATGCCATCCTGTCCCCTGTTCCCTGCTGCTTGCCCAGGGTCTGGGTTTGGGACACTGGTAGCAGCTCTTTCTGTTTCTTCAGGAGAGGAGCCAGGTGCAGACCCATGTGTCTGACACCAACGTCATCCTGTCCATGGACAACAACCGCAACCTGGATCTGGACAGCATCATCACAGAGGTCAAGGCCCAGTATGAGCTCATCGCCCAGAGGAGCCGGGCAGAGGCTGAGGCTTGGTACCAGACTAAGGTGAGACAATGGCTGACTCAGGCGCAGGGGCTGGGATTGGACTCAGACTTCCTCCACGGGGAGAGGCCTGGGCCAGGAAGACCCCAGGACTCCTGGGGACCAGATACACTCAGTCTCCATAGGAGCCTCCAGCAGCGGGGCGAGGCTCCGGAACCAGTGGTTGCCCATGTGGACTGGGGTTCTCCACTACTCACTGCATTTTCTTTGGCCTCCAGTACGAGGAGCTGCAGGTGACAGCTGGGAAGCATGGGGATAATCTTCGAGACACCAAGAATGAGATTGCTGAGCTCACCAGAACTATCCAGAGGCTGCAGAGTGAGGTAGATGCAGCCAAGAAGCAGGTGGGTCTCTACCTGGGGGCCCTGGACTCAGGCCTGGGTGTTGGCAGGGCTGTAGGGCCTTCTCAGTGTCATCCAGAAAGGCAAGGGCTGCTCCTCTTCTGACATATAGGGCAACTCAAATGCCAGGCCAAGATTAATGTGCTCATTTTTTAGGGGAAGAAATGGGCCCAGAGAAGGGAAGTGACTTGTCCAAGGCCACACAGCATATAAACAGTTAACCAGGTGGGAAAACTTCCTTTAAGGAGATTGATCCATCCATCTCCAGGGTGACAGAGCAGGAGACCGGGGCTCCAGGATCCAGGTTACATACACTGACCCTACTGAGGGTATGGCTAAAATGCGAATCTGTCTCCAGATCAGAATGAGGCATTTAGCTAATAGTAAGGTTGTTTCACTTATTTTTATGTTCTTCTAAAACACTAGTTAGACTTCATCAAGGGCTTCCCTAGTGCTGCTACCCGATCCTGCTGTCCAATAGCATCTCTTCTCTCAGATGCACATCTCTTTTCATTCTTTCCAAGTTGGTTTGGGCAAGGGTGTGGGGGCGGTGATGCCTGGCTTGAGGACAGAAAAATGGGGGGTATTCCTAACACCTTTCTCCCCTGCGCAGTGTCAGCAGCTGCAGGCAGCCATTGCGGAAGCAGAGGAGTGTGGAGACCTTGCACTCAAGGATGCTAAGAAGAAGCTTGGGGATCTGGACACAGCCCTGCACCACGCTAAGGAGGACCTGGCCCGACTGCTGCGTGACTACCAGGCCCTTATGAATGTCAAGCTGGCCCTGGATGTGGAGATCGCCACCTACCGCAAGCTGCTGGAGAGCGAGGAGAGCAGGTGGTGACCCCGCTGCCCTGGTGGAGGGCTTCCCAGCCCCAGGCTGTGCAGAGCTCATGTAGTCTGCTCTGGTGCCGGTGGAGCGGGTGGGAGCACCAGGGAGCAGAGCCCCTAACTTGCCTCAGAGGGAGCTCCCTCCTGTGCTCCCGGCTCTGCTGTCCATGTGGGATGACACAGCCATCTGTAATTCTTGGGCTGCGGGCAGCCCTATAAGAAGGAAGCCTCCTCTTCCAACCCCAGATTCCACCACCAGTGGAAACTTTGAAAAAAAAGTAGATATTTTTCTTCTTGGGGACGCAGGAAGCAGAGAAGTGGGCAGGCACTGTGCATTGTTCGCAGTGGGTTTTGTCTCCCTCGAGGCAGGGCTTTTGTCCATGACGCTCACAGGGAGCAGGTGGAGGGTAGGGCTGAGTAGGGTGGCGGGCCGGCAGCTCTAGATCTCCTACAGCGCTGGCTTCAGGCCCTGGCGGGAAGTTCACGATTCCTGGCACAGCCGCAAACTCACACTTTCCTGTCTCCTGCTTTCGTTACGGGACCCTGTGGCTGAGCTAGTCGAGTGTAAAGAGAGAGGGAAGGAAAGGGTGTACACTTGGGTCCCTGGGACTACTGACCCTGTCTCGGCCTTTTTGCCTTCCCTAGGATGTCGGGAGAATGTCCCAGTGCAGTCAGCATTTGTGAGTATTTGCTGTGCATTTCCAGCCCCACCCCTGGCCTGGCCCCAGAACTCTGATCTGTTCTTGTAACCTGTACTTGCACTAAAATGTGCTCCCTCCATTGAGCCTCTGGGGACAAGCACACAGGGTCCCACAGAGTGAGCTCTCTGTTCTGGGTTTCTCTACCCATGTCCCATGGTTCTGCTGCCTGATTTCTGCCCCCTCTGCCCAGGCTTTTCCTGGCATGGTTGCCCTGCCTGACTCAGACCCTTTTCCTTGCAGCTGTGACTGGCAACTCCACCACCGTGTGCGGAGGGGGTGGCATCTCCCTGGGTGGGGGTGTTGGAGCCAGCAAATGTGGATTCAGCACCAATGCAGGCTACGGCACTGTCAAGGGAGGGCCTGTCTCTGGGGGCACCTCCATCCTGAGGAAGACCACCACGGTGAAGACGTCCCGCCGGAAGTACTAGCCACTGAGTCTCACCAGCTGGGGCCCCTGTAGTCCTCTCCCTGTCCCACTCCCCATCTCTGCTGCCCTCCCCACCAAACCTTCTCATGAGCAGCACCAGGGACCGCAGATTCAGGGTGTTTCATACCCACACTCTTTGCACACAATTTGCATTTGCCGAAAGGTACAAATCTACCCAGATTTTCTCCTTTGTTGTGGGATGTGATGGGAGGGGAGCTTAGGGTCACCAGCTTTAAGCGATATGTTTGGGTGACTTGGGGGTGACCTATGGCCATTGGGAGAAGGCTGGATGTTCCAGCCACCTTGGCGTCTCTCATCTCTTCTGGCCATCCACCCTGGGTCCAGTACAGGCTGGGAAAGGAGAGAGGGAAGTTGGAAGTGGTCCCTAAAGACTCTCCAGCCTCCTTAGTCTCCATCCCTTCCCTGAGTCCACCCACAGTTCTGTAGCCTGTCTGTGCCTGCAGTGTGTCTCAATAAACAGCAACTACACCTGTCTGGCTGTGGTTCAGCTTGTTCTGTCTGGGGGACTGGAGTCGTGTCAATTGATTAGCAAGCACCCTGATGGTTGAGGTAGCAACCACTGCACACTCACCCTGTCCCAATCACACTGGCTTGAGCCCATGAGCTCAATGCCTCTACTCCTCTAGTGTTCACGCCTGCTGTGCAGGAGAAGCCTGAGGCTCAGCGGGTGGATGTAAGTAACTCAAAGCAAGACCTTGCTGCTGGGTGGCTGCTTGCCACTCAGCCTGCCCGCTGGTGCCCATTCAGCCCCTCCTGCTCTCTGTGGCGGCTGCATGATTAGTTCATTGCAAAGGCCCTGGGATTTAGAATTAGGCTGAACTGGGTTTAATTTCCAGTTCTTCCACTCACTAGCTGCATTACCTTGGGCAATTCACTTAACCTCTCTAGGCCCCAGTTTCCTCCTTTATAAAATCAGTGTTGTGAGGAGAACACGTGTAAAGCATTTGGCGTAGAGGGAGAGGGGCCCTCAAAGAATTGGTCTTCTTTGGTTTCCTTCCCTCAACTTCTGGCTTTCCAGCGCATCCTCTTGGGATACGATGATTTTTCTGTCAGCCCTCATATTCAGTCATCAGTGCAACTCCAAATTTAATTGGGCTTAGTGCCTTATGAATATATTGCTTTGCCCAAGAATTTAGCAGGGGTGCACGATATCCCATTTTACAGATGAGCCAATCAAGGCTCCCAGAAATCACCCTCATGCCCACAGCGGCATGATGGTTAAGGTAGGATAGTGATGCCCAGGGGTGCGATTTCAAACCCTCTCTCCTTTGTTCACTGGAGCACCTTGATGCTCTGCCCCTGCTTCCGTGTCTCCTCACAGCTTGTGGCCCTGCCTCCACTGTGCCTCAGGGTCACCTCCTCCCTCTTCAGCTCCACAGCACTTCACTCCAAGCCTGGTGCCCACGCCTCGACCTACACCCAAGTAGTTCCACCTGGCAACCCTGTGTGGGCTGCTCTGCCTGCCTGTGGGTGCCTCCAGGAAGGCTGCTGGAGGCCCTGGGCCAGCCGAGGAGAAGCCTGCTCACTTTTAGCTTGTCACTCCTCCTCCCTGCGGAGCTGGAGGGCCATGCAGTCTTCCACCAGGGCCAGGCTGCTCGCAGAGGATTCTGGGCAAATCCTGAGCTGTGGCACAGCTGGAGCACAGGCCAGCACTTGGCAAAACTGGGGCAGTCCCGAGTCCAGGAGGCAGGCACACTCACAGGGCTATGCTTCTCTCCTCAGGGGTTTGGAGTGTAAACCTCTCCCCACAGGCCCTCTGTTGTGGATGATAAAGTTTCTAGAGAGCCTCCTGTGTGCTGGGAAGCCTCGAGCTGACTCAGTCTCCCCAACAGCCCATGATTCGCTTTTATCATTCCCACTTGGCAGACAAGGAAAGTGGTTAAATCTAGGGTCACACAACTCATAAGTAACAGAGTAGGGTGTGAAATCCAAGCAATCTGGTCCAGAGGCCAGGCCTGTAACAACCAGGCTATGCTGATTGTATAGAAAATGAATGTGTGTGTGTGTGTGTGTGTGTGTGTGAGAGTGATGCTAGGGATTGAACCTAGGGCTCTGTGTTTGCCAGGTGAATGCTCTTTCTCTGAGCTATATCCCCAGTCCTAGAAAAAAAAAAGTAGAGAAGTCGAGGGTGCTAGAGCCAGAAGGAGCATTGGATGCTTCTAGTCCAGACTTTGCAAAGAGCTTGTCTGAATGCTACAATATGCTAATGAGAGTAAAAGAAAATGATTGAAATTAAGTTTAGGACTTGGAAACTGAACCGAGACAGTTTTAATTATCACAAATTTAAACTCAGCAGTTATATCAGTCCAGGAGGCCCCAGTAACAGTAATATAGAAATATTGCTGACCCTCAGTCAGGAATGGGTTACTTAGAAATACAAATTTTGGGTTCTTACAGTCTCTGGGGGGTACTGCTTCAGGGGTGCGGAGAGACTAGCATGCTGTAGAGCTCATGGTCCCTGCTGTGCACCCACCGCAACCTCTGTCCTACTTGTTGCACGCAGCAACTGGCATGCTAAGTGCAGGGACACGTGTTGGGAATTGCAGCTACCCCCGAGGCTGAGATGACAGGATTGAAAGTTTGAGGCCAGCCTTGGCAACTTCAAGAGACCCTGTCTTAAAAAAAAATGAGGAAGAGGAAAAGGAAGAAGGGGAGGGGAGAGAGAGGTTTGCACACTTGATTTTGTGCAACAGTGGTTTGGCTGGCCAGGACAAGAAAGCAGAGGGGCTGCTCTATGGTCCTGGGAAAGGGGGCTCTAGGCACAGACACTTTGCATCTGATCCCTGCCCTTGCTGCCCTCCTGGCCTTCTGCTGGAATGCTGATGGCTCTTTCCTGGGAATCTCTGATCCTCCTGGTGGCTCTATCTTCCAGAGGTGACTCAGGCCTGCGGGACAGTTGGGGCTGGGTGACCGAACTGGCCAAAGGCAAAGGCATGAGCTGGCCAGGGAGGGAGGGGTACTTTCCCACACCAGGCACCAGGTTTGGGGCTGACTGACAGGAGCCTCAGGATCCATAATCCTGGTTGAATGCGAGGGCTTTGCCTCCTTCATCAGAAATCCCTGGGCAAACACACCCACCTTGCTCCACACCTGCAGAAGCTCATCCTTCTGTGTTGAGGTTGGGACAACAGCCAAAGGCAGAAGGTCATGGCAGGCAATAGGCAAAGTGGTGTGTGTGGGGGTGGGGGGCAGGGGCGAGCTTTCGGCTGTCACTGTCAGGTGGAACCCTATTCTGCCACCTGCTTCTGGTCTGGTAGGAAGCAGACATCTTTCCCAGAAGGAACATCTTCCCTCTGCCTCTCTCACTACAGGCTTTGAGAAGTTCTCCTTGTATCTACCCTTAGTTTCTCATCTTCAGGCTGAGGATTTTGGAAATGTCTGGTAATTCTGATTTAATAATAAATTTATGGTGTATTACCGTTGATTCATTTTGAATTAAAAAAATATATATGTTGCAGCAAAAAATAGTAAGGCCCCAGAATATGGCTCTGGATTAGAACTTCCTATTTGATCTAGCTCTATCACAGGATTTGCAATTAAACTAATTTGAGGATAGTTAATTGGAGAACACAAGATTGGCCGCCCCAGGACAGCATCACACCTTCGTGGTTACCTGCAAGAATAGGGCCACATAAACCAGGCACCCGATCATGTGAAAAGAGTAATGACAGAAAGGAACTGGGTCATGTCAGTGGAACACACAATGTGTTGCTCGTGGGTCTGTATAAGCTGCCGTGGATCTTTTCTTTCCCCTGAAGATTCAATGTATGGCAGGGTCACCTATATAAAACACTGTGGTGTAGAAGTTAAGGTCATAAGCTTTGACCTTACTTATGTCTTTGACCTTACTTACTTACGTCTCCATTACTTCCTAGCTATGTGATCTCAGGCAGGAAAGTCTTCATTTGTGGCTCCATGCTTTGTGTCCCACAGACACAAAATAAGATTGATTGTAAATTATACAAGATTTCTCTGAAAATCTCTTTTGCTCCTACCTTGCTCTTTTTAAAACCCAACATAGGCACAACTCTGGACACAGCATACCTGTGACAGTTTCTTACAGTATTGGAGTGTTACAACCACAGGTACAAGATCCAAGGGATAGGTCGTGAGCTGCCCTGGGCTTTGCTTCTGCTGACACAAACTCTCACCCAAGCCCCCGAGTCTCCATCAAACCCGAGGGGCAGTGGAGGATGGAGCAGTGGGCGACAGGGGTAGAGATGGGGGTGAACAGTCAGAGTCTGACACCCTTGGCGAACTTCCCCTTCTCCTTTGAGGAAGACACTAGGTAATCAGCTTCCCAGGGGGCAAGTCTGCTTCTGCAGCCTCTGAGAGGTGTCTTCTTCCCTGCATGCCCAGTGCTTGCGGACAGGGTGATATCGGTAGACCCTGGCCCCTTCATTCTGACCAGCTAGTGCAACCAGGTTTCTTCAGAGTCTGATAGTCACACAGCAGAGAGCCTGAGTTTATACCAGGCAGCACGGTCCTGGGGAGAGAGACGCCATGAGGTGTGGAGACTTTGGGACCAGACTGATGTGGCTCTACTGCATGCTATGCAAACCTGGGAGCTATTTTACCTTTTGGGGGCACTCAGAAGCAGAGCTAATGCTGCCAACTGCAGAGAACCCTTAAAAAGACTTGTTGACCTGCTGTAGATACATTGGGTATCCTGCATATGGCCTGGCTCAGCAAATTCTGGTGGGAAGGAGGCTTGAGTGTCCAATCCCTTCCCTGGTTGGAGGTGGGTCCTACTCACCCAACAGGGGGTGGTCCTGGCTCGGGAATGCCCCCCGCTGTGGGTGGACCGACCAATGCTCCAGCCTCCTCTTGTGGACATGTGATGGGGCCTGGGTGGCTGATTCTCACAACAATAGCTCCACTACCCCTCCAGTACCATCTGGGCAGCCACAGGGTGAGGGTAGCCCGCCTGAGGCAGAGCAGAGATGGAAGGGAGGAGAAGGAGTTGGTTGAGCTCCCAGTTGATCTGCCCCTGTCCCTGGGGCTTGGGTCTCTGACCACGCTTTCCTTACCTGCAGACTCACTCTCTTCTCTGCATGGAGGAATCCAGACACTTTTACTTTTACTGTGGCCAGCTTTCATTAGCTTGAGGCCAGGAAATTATCCAGATGGTGGCCACTGCTCTTTCTAGATCTGGGGTCATTTCCTCCATGAAGGACTGAGGAGACGAGAACATAATTTCATCTAAAATCCCCTAGTAAGTGGCCATAACAAGGCCTGGAAGGGAAGAGAATGTGTGTCCCCTGACCTCCTGTGTGCCAGCTACCCTAGCTACATTATCTCATTAATGTAGTCTTGTTTTGTAGATGAGTAGATGGCTTGGATGGGTTCAGAGAGGTTAGGTGATCTGCCTAAGGCTGGTTAGTGGTAAGAGGTGGAACCTGAACACAGCTCTATTGCTCTCAGTGGGGAAGAACTTAAATTGGGGCTTCAAACTGGGGTTCTGTGTGTAGAATTATGGCTCTGAGAAGGGACCCCTTGATTTTACAGGTCTGCCAAAGTGCCCCTTTCCAAGTTATGAATTTCTGTCCTGAATCCTGGGACCATTCTGGGAATCAGAATATGCTCTGTTCTTGTGAAGCTAAGCAAACCACAGGGCAGCAAAGGGAGCAGCAGGCAGCACCCATCAGGGCCGGCTTGGAGTGGGCTGTGCTAGCACCAAGAAAGCAAACACCCATGGAGGCTGAAGAAGCAGCGGAGGTCCGGAGGGCCTGAGCAGAGGGCCAGGGTCTTACAAGGGGAGGTGTGTGTGTCCCCTCCTGTCCCTACTCAGTACCCGGCTGCATGCCTGGTTGGTCAGGCTGAGGGACGTCTGGATGCAGGCCCCTCTTGTATGTGCACACGGGCCAAGCCCACATGGAAGAAGAGGAACGGTGGTGACCACACGCACAGCCCTGACAGAGCACTAAGCACTCTGTTAGTCACGGTCCTCCCTGTCCTGGAAAGTAGTGGAGGTAAATATTTGTGTTACTTTCAACTTATGAGTGAAATGACTGAGACTCAAGGTGTGCAGAGTGGGCAGGTGGTAGGCCGTGAACTTGAACTCAGGCCCTTGAATCTAAAATCCTGCTGTGGAAGAGAATGGCGATGTGATTCCTGCCAGAGTAGGGACTGCCGTGGGCCTGGCGAGTTGGGAAGGTAGTAGGGGGCCTGCAGGGCAGGGCCTGGGCTGGGCCTCTGACCCGGGAGGTTCTCCTGGAGGGGAATGGGATAGAAGCCAGGAACTGTGCCCTCTCAGTGACTTCTGTAGGTGTGTTTAGCGACATGCTTAGCAAGTGTGAGGAGGATGGGCTGCTGCCAAAGGCCAAGCCCAGAGATGTTTTGGATTTTTCTCTTTATGCCCCTGCAACCAAGCCCTGCTGCTCCAGCCCATATAAAGGACCCAGGCTGAGGGCTCCGGCATTCACAGGCCTGGCCTTCTTGCCTCTCTTTGGTAGCTCTGAGCTTGCTCTTCTCTCTCAGCCATGATTGCCAGACAGCAGGGTATCCGGGCTGGGTCCCGGGGCTTTAGCAGTGGCTCAGCTATCATTGGTGGGGGCAAGAAGGTTGCCTTCAGCTCGGCCTCCGTGTCTGGGGGTGCAGGCCGCTGCTCATCTGGGGGTTTTGGCAGCAGAAGCCTCTACAACTTCAGGGGGAACAAGAACATCTCCTGTGGCATGGCTGGGTCCCGCCAGGGTGCCGGCTTTGGGAGTGCTGGGGGCTTCAGCACTGGCGGCTTTGGTGCTGGTTTCGGTGTTGGCGGCTTCGGTGGTGGATTTGGAGGCTCCTTCAGTGGTCGGGGTGGTCCTGGCTTCCCGGTGTGCCCCGCTGGAGGGATTCAGGAGGTCACCATCAACCAGAGTCTGCTGACCCCACTCAGCGTGGAGATTGACCCCGAGATCCAGAAAGTCCGGACGGAGGAGCGTGAGCAGATCAAGACCCTCAACAACAAGTTCGCCTCCTTCATCGACAAGGTGTGTGAGCATACACGTATCCTGGGCTGGAGAGAAGAGGCTGAAGGCAGAGCTTCTGTGTCCTGAGATCTCAGGTCTCTGCTCATCCAAGGCACAGGGAAAACTGTGGAACTTGCTGGACTTCCGTTTCCACGGTCACTCCGAGTCTTCCTCTTTTGCCTCATAGCTGCGGGCGGACAGGATGCTCAAAGCAGACCAGCAAGTGCTGCGTGTGGCAAGCTGCACAAAATGGGCAAATCGTTTGTCTTTTTTCTGGCCTCAGTAGCCCCAGCTATAAAGTGTCTTGCTTTTTCTTAGGTTTTAGTTTGGGAGATAATAATTAACTCCATTAATAATTTCACTATTGGCACTTCTGTTCTGAGGGCAGAAGAAAACCAAATAGGTTTTGCAAATGAAAGGGACTGATGCCCATGACAGGTTGTGGATCTCAGTGGTATTTTGAGAGGTCTCCTCTTTCAGTCTCCCAACTCTGGGCAAAGCTACTCTTTTCTAGGTCTGTTTGAAGAGAAGAGGAAATGCATCTTTTTTTTCCCCGGTGCTGGAGATTAAACCCAGGGCCTTTGCTCTGAGCTATATCCCCAGGCCCTTTTAAGATTTTTTTATTCTAAGAAATGGTCTTGCTAAGTTGCCCAAGTTAGGCTTAATTCTCTGCCTCAGCTTCCTAGAGCTACAGGGATGCACCCTCCTTGCCTGGCTAATGTTCTGTTTTGGAGCCCAACTTCCTTTTCATGCAAAGCCTGGAGACCAAAGTTGTGAAAACTCAATGACAGCTAAGTATGATGGATGATAGTGAGCAGATCAGCCCAGAGAGCTGAGTCACCCAAAGATGACAGGGAGGATGAGTGTAGCATTTGGGTTCAGGCTGTCTTGGGTTGCCGCGCATCAAAGTCATAGGCCTCTAAGTGAATAATCCTGGAGGACAGGCAGACGTGAAAGCAAGACTAAGGCTTCTTTAGCACTTTACTGTCTCCTCTCCTCCCTCTTCATCTTACCTTTGGCTCGGAAGGTGACCAGTCTCCTTTGGCTGCTTTCTTTTTAGCTGGGAAGCTCCTAAGGTGGAGATGTCATCTAAGCTGCTTTCTTGGCTTCTCTGGCTGAGCCTTTTCACAGAGTGAGGGAAAGTTTTGGGAAGTTCCCAGTAGGATGGCTTCTCACCAAGACTCTGAAAATGGTCAGCTGTGCATAGGTTCAGGGACACACCGGGTCCACTGATAATGAACTTATTTCAAAAGTCTTTAGTGAGTGTGTCTTTTCTTTGCCTTGGGTCAGGATCAGTTGAATGCCAAGGCCCCTGTGGTTGTTATCGCTTAACTTCATTTTATTTGATTAATTTGAAGAAGTTCCTTGTTGTTCTCCAGTATTTCCTGTCAGGGGCCCGTGGGTTCCTGTGCTGGGAAGCTGACCTTGCTGTACTGTTGGGCTCCTGCCCTGGCTCTGCTCCATTCTGTACAACCCATGGGGCCCTTTGCTGATACGGGCTTGGCAATGGGGCTGCTGTGTGGACTCTAGTGAGAGGTGCCCTGGAGTTGCAACATGGTGGCCTTGCATAGGTAGCTCTTGACCCACCTGGTTGCCTTGGATTGACAGGGCTGGTGCTGCCCTTGGTTGACCCTCCTGCCCGAGCTTCAGACCCTCATCGGTTGGCTGGTTCCCTTTCCAACACAGGTGCGGTTCCTAGAGCAGCAGAATAAGGTCTTGGAGACTAAATGGAAGCTCCTCCAGCAGCAGACAACCACCACATCCAGCAGAAACCTTGATCCCTTCTTTGAAACCTACATCAGTGCCCTGAGGAAGCAGATAGATGCCCTGGGCAATGAAAAATCTCGTCTGCAGTCGGAGCTGAAGATGATGCAGGACAGCGTGGAGGACTTCAAGACCAAGTATGTGAGCAGGAAGGACACCTCCCCTCCCCTGCACGTGCTGCTTTCCCATGGCCCAGGCTTCTGGCTGCTCTGGGGTTTAGAATCCCAGGCTCTGGAGAACTCCCAAGAGGACCAAGAAGTGCTCTAGTCTGTCTTCTTGTGCCCACAGTCACATATCCTTCCTTAGGCTGAGGCATAGAAACCCCAAGTTACACTGGTTTTGCCATATGCAAATAGTACTGGAAACTGAATGGATGAAAGGCAGAATACATGGTCAGAAGAATATAGGTTGTAGAGACAGACGGAGCTGGTTAGACTACTGAGTCTTTGTTTATTAGCTGTGTGGCCTCGGGTAAGTTGCTTATTAGCTGGGTCTCAGTTTTAAAAAGCCTTAATGAGGATAAAATTCTTTAATTTTTAAAATGGGCATAATATCACTATGTTACTGGTTGTGAGAAATAAATGCAATTAAATGAGATGGAGAAAGTATGTGGCATAGAGCTAGACACAGAGCGAATATCAACGCACAGCTGTTATTTTGCTCACTGTAGTATGGGGCTGAGAAAATAAATACCAATGCTCTCTCAACTCGCTCACACATGAAACAAAGGGAACTGGAGGTCTAACTTGCCCAAATGGGCAGAGGATAGTCCTTCCATGGCAAGAAAATCAGTTAGATCCTTGGTAATTTTTCTCCTCGCCCCTTATTTCTTTTTAAGTTTTGTTTTAAAATAGTCTTTGTAGGTCTCTGAATAAATCAAAACCCAGACTATAACTTCATGGATGGTAATTTTTCATTCAAAGTATATATTTTCTATTTTAGAGAAAAAAAAAACCCAATAAAAACAATGATACAGAATTTCAAAACAAAATAGTAGGAAGTTAACAATGGTTGTTATATTGCATATTGATAGCTTTGAAGTAGTTGCTCAGACAACCAGACATAGGCAGGCAAAACTGATCAAACAATATAAGCACAAACCATTCCTTTCATTGATCAGTCAATGTATGTTGAATGAATATCACAAGAAATGTAGATAATTACCTAGATATTTCTACACAGATAATTGAAAACAAGTAGTAGAGAGCTGAGACAAACTGTCTCATGGTGGGCTTTTCCCTCCTGTCCTCATCCCTAGGTATGAAGATGAGATCAACAAACGCACAACTGCAGAGAATGATTTTGTGGTGCTCAAGAAGGTAAGAAACTAAGGGTGGCAGGGCAGTGCTTCCCTCTCCTTTGGCAGTGTTCCTTGACTGGAGTCATGGCTTTGTCCATCTCTGCTTCATCTCCATCTCACTTGGTGCTGTCCAGATCTATTCTGTCAAGGGAAGTAGGTGAAGGAACCAAGTTGTAAGGAATTCAAGAATTTCCCCTTTTGGAGAATAAACTTCCATGTCTTCAGGCAGTTAGCTGTAGGGGCAGGATAGGTTAAATGATCGGCCCCTTGCCACTTCAGGCAGTTAGCTGTAGGGGCAGGATAGGTTAAATGATCGGCCCCTTGCCACTCCACTGCTTCTCCTAAATGCAACCGAGAGCACCTTTAGGTGCCAAATGATATCCCTGGTCCCCATTGCAATTCCTATGCCTTATCTCTCCTCTCTCTTCCTCTGTTGCAGGACGTGGATGCTGCCTACATGAACAAGGTGGAGTTGGACGCCAAGGTGGACAGCCTTAATGATGAGATCAACTTCCTGAGGGTCCTCTATGAAGCGGTGAGGACTCCCATTTCCTTCCATTCAGGGGAAGGGGTCCCCTATCTGTCAGGCTGTTGGTTGGTTGGGAGTCACAATTCTTATACAAGACTCCAGTTTCCTTGCTTCCTTTTGAGGAGTGACTTCTCAGTAGGTCTTAGGTGGGAAGGCTTGGAGTGAAGTGAAAGATCTAGCTCAGACCTTCTCAAAACCAAATGCTGTCTTAGACAAAGCCAGATGCTGTCTATCCCAAAGAGTGTGTGGGATAGAATTCATTGTGTCCTACCATTTTTCTGATGAAGTGGATTGATTCCATTCCCTTCCATCCAACCTACTGAACATGCTCTGCCTTGGCCATGGGATATTTATGGTCCTCAGTGAGCAGTAAAGACTAGAAACGTTTTCTGTATTGAAATGTCACCAGCCACTTGATTTCTACTTAGAAACTTACTCTTCCCACATAATGGGGACGTTGATCCCACTTCATTTGCACATGTAACATAGCCACTTGCATGACAACAGAAATCTGGTGAGATAGACTCTCCTGGGAGCTAACGTGAGACATCCTCTTTGTAGGAGCTGTCTCAGATGCAGAGCCATGTCAGTGACACCTCTGTGGTCCTGTCCATGGACAACAACCGTGACTTGGACCTAGACAGTATCATCGCTGAGGTCCGTGCACAGTATGAGGAGATTGCCCAGAGGAGCAAAGCCGAGGTGGAGGCCTGGTATCAGACCAAGGTGGGTAATGGGTATGTCAGAGAATGAGGTGGCTCTGGGCTCTTCTTTAGTGACTGTGAAGAGGTGATCATCAGCTGGAACCCAAGAGCAGTCAGAGATGAATGGATGCTCCCAGGCACTGTTGATCTTGGTCTGATTTGGAATTGCTTGACATTTTGTGTTATCCCTTCTATCTGTGGTTACTCTTACTGGCCTCCAGAGATACCCTTGACCTCTGGTTCCTTGTGTCTGCTTGGGTATTAGGTCCAGCAGCTTCAGACCTCAGTGGACCAACATGGGGACAATCTGAAAAGCACCAAGAATGAGATCTCAGAGCTCAACCGGATGATCCAGAGGCTACGGGCAGAGATTGAGAATGTCAAGAAGCAGGTGGGCACTACTTCCCTGCTGAAGTGCAGGCCCAAGGCCTAGGGTAGATGGCTTTATCATGGATAAGCAGATAGTGCATTGGGCCAAAAGACCCTGAGCTTGTCTGCAGGGAATTTGTAGATCATTATACAAGCCACACCCGGATTTTCTCAGCAGTGTCCTAGCTTATGAGGCATGCCATCCTAGTACACAGGTCCCCTTGCTCTTCTTTACTGTTTTGATCATCTTTACCTGATCAGTATGGTGGGGGCATTAGCGGGCTCTCGCTGGAACGAACTCTTCAGAGTTAGGGGAAGTGGTGAGAAGGACAAATAGAATTTTGATGCCTTAATTTGAGGGTAGCTGGCCCAGGACGGAGACAGGTGCAAAGATCTTGAGAGCAGGGCACTGATGCTGACTGTCCATGCCTTTGTCCACAGTGCCAGGCTCTGCAGACGTCTGTGGCTGATGCAGAGCAGCGTGGGGAGGTGGCCCTCAAAGATGCCTACAGCAAGCGGACAGAGCTTGAGGCTGCCCTGCAGAAGGCCAAAGAGGAGCTGGCCCGGATGCTGCGCGAGTACCAGGAGCTCATGAGCGTGAAGCTGGCCCTGGACATTGAGATCGCCACCTACCGCAAGCTGCTGGAGGGCGAGGAGTGCAGGTGAAGAGGGAAGGCAGGTGGGAAGCTGAGGGTTAGAGAGGCCCAGGGCCCTGAGTGTGGGTCTCTCCTGGGTTACTTGTGTCAGTGCTGTGCTGGTACATTAAGAACCAAGATGATGTGGTTAACAGCGTTACACTCAGCCACTCAGGGATAGGATAGGTGAACGAGACCTTCTTACTGAGCAAAGCATAGCTCTTGGCTTGCTGTGACTCATGCCTTTTTCTCCCCTACAGGATGTCTGGAGAATGCCAGAGTGCTGTGAGCATCTGTAAGTACCTTCTGGCCCTGCCTTGCTGTACCTTCACCCTGGTCTGGCCTGCGGGCTGTAGGCACTGTGGGACTAACTGTGTCCTTTGCCTCTCCTGCAGCTGTAGTTGGTGGTAGTGTCAGCACTGGAGGCATTGGCGGAGGATTAAGCATCGGCGGAGGATTTGGCCTGGGCGGTGGTTTTGGCTCTGGCTCCGGAAGCGGCTTTGGGTTTAGTGGTGGCGTCAGCGGCAGTTCTGGTGGCAAGATCATCTCTTCTACTACCCTGACCAGAAGATCCCAACTATAAAGAAGATGAGGTCCCCACAGGCCCCTGAGTCGGGCCCAGCCCAGCCCTTGTGTCTGCACTTCTTTACTTCACCTCCGCCTTCCCTTCCTGGTGCTTGTCTTACCAGGGTCACCTGCACTCTCCCCTGGGTTCTCTCCGCTCCGAGGTGCTCTTTGTGCCTGGGACATGGATTCTGTCCTCTTGGAATTTGGTGACTGCTTCTCAACTTGGGCCTCAAGACCCATGTGGAATGAGAGCACTGTCGGCCTTCACTTCCCATGGACAGAGGAGAATATGATCAGGAGCTCCATCTCTAGGACTGTCAGGGGTATACATGTCCCCATCCCAGCCCAGGGCCGTCCCCCACCAGATCCTGGATATCTGTCAACATCACAATCGAACTCATTCTCCATCACTTGGCAGCACCTGGCTCTGCAGGGTCAGGACAAGAGCTGCTCAGCGTTCCATTCAGCTCTTCTCATTCTTTCTGTCCAGCTTCAGGTGACTGTTTAATAAAATGCTTCTGTCATTCATTCTGAGCAGTTGTCTTTGTTCTCTGGGGAGACGTCTTTAGAATTTCATCTATTTAGGTGAAAGTAGAAGCTGGAGGTCTTGAAGGATCTGTCCATACAGACCAAGGCCACCCACTGATCTCTTCTTCTTAGTTGCACAGCTTATTGAGGCTAGAGTAGAGTGTGTGGAGCCTGAAGCCTGCCTACAGGGGAGGGTAGATTTAAGAGACAAACAACAATTCTACAAAGGATGACCCGTATAAGGCAACCTGGGGCAGCACTGTCTCAGGGCTGAGCCTGGAGGAAAGAGTTCAAATGTGGAGGTGGGCGTGCCTCACAGATGTGACAAAAGGCTGTCTGGGCAGAATGCAGAAAAGGTGGTAGAACTTATAGAGAAGCCTTCTATCTGGTGTCTAGCTAGATTTTGAAACTAGATCCCAATGGCCCAGCAGGGCTTTGAGCGAATTGTTTCGAGAACTGACAAGGTCGTGGTTGTCGAATGGACAGAGTGTAGGTGTTTGCGAGCCTGCTCTTGCTCACTTCCCCACCTCCTTGAGGCACTGGGTTCTGCCTTGGTTGCCATCCCCGCCTTGTGGGAGAAGATGGAGAAGAAGCAGCTTTTCTGGAGCAGTACAGGGAAGCTTCCTGACTGGGACAGCCCCAGAGGCTCTGATTAGTACATGGCTGAAGGTGGGAGAGGGCAGTCAGGGGAGCATTTGGATATAACTTGGGAAAACACTCTGTTTCCATCCTGAGCCAATCCCAAGAGTAGCACAGCCTCCCCTTTTCCAGAGCAATACTGCACTGCTTTGTATCTGCAGCCTGATCTAAAGGCTTCCTGATAGAGGTGTGGAATGTATTCTTTCCCTCGGCCAGCAAGTGGTGCTTCTCCCTTGACTTACAGAGAGGTCATTCTGACTCCACTTCCCCCATACAGTGTCCATGAGGGCCTGGTGTGTACAAATGGGACCTGCCAAGGTTACCCAAGGCTGGTCCTGCCATGGGGCCTCTGAACAGAACGTGAGGGAGGCTCAGGGCTGCCCTGCTCTGGGAAGGCAGGGGCAGAGAGCCAAGGGTTAATCTGTGGGGCTTATGCTCTCAGTGCAGGGGCCTTCTGCCACGAGGAGTGGCTCTCTCTTGGCCAGATGGCTCTGTCCTTCACAGCCCAGCCCTAATCTCTCCATTGTCTGCCCTGGGCTCACTGCCCCATGTGTCAGAACAGGAAGTGTTTGCGGCCTTTGTAGCCAGTCGGGCAACTTTAACTTCAACCTACCACTGCACCCCTGCACTGGGAAAATGTCCAGTTTGGCTCATTTTTGAGTTTCTGGGTTCTGGGGAGGAGAGATAAAGGTCGGAGGCAGAACCTCAAGGTTACCCATCAAAACTGCAGCTGTGATAGCTCCTATTTCTCTGCTCCCTGAGCAGGGAAGCATGTGAGTGGCCAGCCTGTGTGGGGTGGCTGGGTCTCTCAGGGCCTATTCAGTTGCACTGAAAGATTTACCCAGCAAAGTTGGCTGTAGATGAGATTTGTGTCAGTATGTGTCCAAATCAACATGGTTGGTTATATTTGCAGGCAAGTGGCTATGTGTGCTTGTGCCTTTTGTTTATATAAGAAGCCTCCTATTTGACATAAAAGAGGGACTCTCCCCTCCCCACAGCCATGTTAGCCTTTTACTTCCAGTGCAGTCCAGGGGAGTGGATCCTGGCCAGGAGCAAGTGTTTAGGAGCCAGCTGGCCAGCCAAAGGCGATTAGTTGGGGAGCGGTGAATGCTTTGCTGAGATAATATGGGTGTCCTATCCTCTCAGATCCTTTGAACTGGACTCTGGTCAGCAATTCAGGTTTGAGGGCACTAGAGAGACACAATTGCATTACCTGCTGGGTGAAGGCCCCATGGTCCCTTTTATTCTAAATCTTCTCTTCTAGGTATACTGAAGTCATCTTTCCAGCAGAGGGGTCCAGCTGCAGGTTGGTGTGTCTTCAGTTCAGTTTGCAGAGCTTACTTGCCCTGATCTGCACCTCCTAGGCTCAGGCTTCCAGCCCTGACTGTAGTCCCACCAGGGGTTTGGACCAGGTTTCTCCTGGCTACTAAGCCACTATTACATTAACATCAGTTCCCCTTCCCTAAGACCCTGTCTGTTAGCCAAGCCCTCTCAGTTCCAGAAGATCCTTGACTACCCTTCTCAATCCCTTGTTTCTAGTACAACTAGAAAGATACAGTAAAGCGGGATATACCTGGCCATGTTTCACTATAGGATTTTAGTTTAGCTTTGCAGAGTCCAGGCTCTGGGTTCTAAAACCAGAGTATCTCAGAATAAGTCATTGTCTTTACCATATCTCAAATGGATGTTCAGTTATTAGGGCATCAGCTATCTATGGAGGTAGTTGAAGGAACTGTGTCCCTTTGTTCCTCTCAGGACATGGTCATAGTGGGCCAAGCCCCCAGGGACAAAGGGATCCAGCAGGCTGAAAGAAGTCATTTTAGCACTTGCTTCAGGTTTTTTTTTTTTATTATTTTTTTTGTTACATTGCAGGTAGGGACTGAGCAGTCATCTCTTTATCCCATGGGGAGAAGGCTGGGGTGGAGAGTGTGGCCACAGTGAGTCTTGCCGGTGGTAAGAATACCAGGACCAGGATCATTGCCGCTTATGGTTGTCTAGTTGACTTTGGGTTGAGGCGAGTTTGTTTTGCATCTTCCGTGTTTTTTTTTTTTTTTTTTTTTGAGTGTGTGTGAGACAGGCTCTCACTATGTAGTTCACGCTGGACTTAAACTCACTATGTAGCCCAGGCTGGCCTTGAACTTGCAGTGATTCTCCTGCCTTAGTCTCCCAAGTGCTGGGATTATAGGCATGTGCCAACACCCCAGCCTATATCTTTAATTGCACTTCAAGAGCTACAAATTTGATCCTCAATAATTTGAAGGCTGATGAGAAGTTAAATAAGGTAGGAAGAGGCTTTCTTTGTTTTTTTTGGTCTTTTTGAGACAGGGTCTCACTATGCAGTTCAGGCTGGCCTTGAGCTCACTTATGTAGCCTAGGCTGGTCTTGAACTAGCAACAGTCCTCCTGCCTCAGCCTCCTGAGTGCTGGGATTACAGGCATGCACCACCACGCCTGGCTGGAAGAGGCTTTCTTGACAAAGGGTTTTCATTGCCAGATATCTACAATCCATCCATCAAACCACCGATCTACCCACCCACTCATTCACTTACTCAACAAAACACTAGCTTATGAATTCTTTAATGGCAGGGGCCAAGGCTATATTCATCTTGATATGCCAAGCTCTCTAGGCTTATGCTGTTTTTAAAAAGTGGTTGTTTAAAAAATAGTGATTAAGTGAATGAATAAATTTTGAGTGAGTGCCAAGTCTGTGCTAGGCAATGGAGACCCAAATATAAACAAGAATTAGACTTGCTTTCAAGGCATTTTCGATGATCATGTTGAGATATAAATGACCTGGTAACCAGGCAGATGGATGAATCCCCTGGAAGTTGCAGACAGAGGTCACAGCTGTCCAAGGTGAGTGAAATTGCTTCTAGTCTTGGGTGAGGTCTTGGCAATCACAGGAGCCTTCATAAGGAAGATGATATTTAAGTGGAGTGTTAAAGAACAGGCAGGGCTTGGATGTAGAGATGGAGGCAAGTGTTCTCCTGCAGACAGCAAGACTCTGATCACTAAGAGGAAGCCCTTTTCTCCAGGAAGTCTCCCAGGAGTGGCTCCCCCTGTTGTAGCACCCTGATGCTCTGTGCCCCTTAAGCTTCTTCAGACCAATTTATATCACACTCCAGTGTTCTGTGGGGTGGTAGTGCTTCCTTCATTTAGCTGAGGGCTCCTCCTCCTGTGAATCTGCCATCTATGAGCCCCATGGCAGTACTTGCTTCTGCTATACAAGCTTTGGGATCATATGCTTTGTGGCCTGGTCTGTGCTGGGCTGCAGGGAGCCTGAGCTTACTGAAACCTTGTCCTCCCTTGAGGAAGGTATAGGTGACTGTGAAATGGAACATGGCATGGGGAGTGCTGGGGAGCAGACATCTAAATAATGATGTTCTATCCTTGCAGGAGAGTGTTCAGAGCGATGGTAGGTGGAGGCATGGAGCTTTGGAAGCACAAGGAGAAGTACACATTTTGGCCAGGAGTTCAGTGAAGGTTCTGTGATGGAGGTGTGAAAGCTGATCCAGGTGAAAGGGGTATGCACCTGGAACTTCACAGAGTTCTAGGTGGCAAGAACACCAGGAGAAAGGCTCAAAGCATGGCTCAGAGCAGTATGTGCGTAAACCAAAGCAGCTTAGCATTGGTGCAGACTCAGGGTAGGGAGAGATGAGAGCGTCGGGAGAGGGAGGCTGAGGCCAGGCTGTGGAGGATCATGGTTTGGCCCATTGTCCAATTTGTTTAGACTCTGAACTTTGTGTTCAAAGACTAAATGAGCTCAGGAGAAGATGGGGAAGGAACTCTGGGTCACCACTTTTGGGGGTGTGGCCTCGAGACCCTCATACTTTGTACTCACCTCCGAGGCCTAGCACGGTGCACCGCATTCCCCTTCCACACAGCTACAACAGCACACTTTGTGACCGCTGCACTTCCCTTCCCACTCTTATTTACTAGGAAGCCATGCTGCTGGGACCAAGAGTTTTGTTGTTATTCCTGTGTCTCCTGGCAGAATCTTCTCTCATGCCCCACATTGGTACTGACTCTTGCTTTTGTCTAGTACCTTCTATATGCTAGGGGCTATCGGTTGTTATGTCTAAATCTCCTGAAGTGACCCACAGTGACCACTGTCATCCTGCCACAACCACCCCCTCTGTTTTATGGCCAAGTGGAGTCTCCCAAATTCCTCCATGGACAGAGGGAGCCATACTTTGCAAATAATTTCATGGAAAAATAAACTTAAGTTGCTTCTTAACTTTCTCTTCTCTAGGTTAAATGACCACTTAATGGTATTTCTTTTCTTTTTTTTTTTTGTCTTTTTGAGACAGGGTCTTGCTATGCAATTCAGGCTGGCCTTGAGCTCACTTTGTAACCCAGGCTGATCTC